GGGCAGGACGGGTCTGATGGTGGCGGTGGAGGCGCGCCACGTGGAGATGGTGGAGCTGCTGCTGGCCAGCGGAGCCGACCCGCACCACCGGTCGAGCGTCGATGGCATGCACGCCCTCCACGTGCTCGCCGAACAGGGCCAACGCGACTTCTGCCTGGTGCCTACCCCCGCACCCCGCCCTGGCTCGTTCAGTTCGTGGTGTGTGTCGTGTGTCGTGTCGTGTCGTATGTGATGAATGTCCACACACGCATTCATGAGTCGCGTTTCCCCCCAAGGAGCAGGAGAAGCCGGCGGGCATACTTCTGCTGCAAGTGCTGCTCGAGGCCGGCGTCGATCCCAACGTGCCCACCTCGTCCAGCAGCGAGGTGTAACATTGCGTTGCTGCCGCTTGTGGTGATCACTCACTCTGATAGCGCCCTGTTCAACTAATATTGTGGGGCATCACCAGACGGTGTTGCATCTGATGTGCCTGCGGGGCAATGTCGAGGGCGTGCGCGAGCTGCTCGCCCGGCGCCTGGTGGCCGACATCGACGCGCGCAACACCCACGGCGACACCACCCTCCACTACGGTACCCCCCCCCGCACCACACTCGCGGTCGGGCTGCAACCGTGAGGGGAATGAGCTCACGTTCTCAGCAGCGGCGCGCAAGGGCCACGACGAGATGGTGCGGCTGCTGGTGGCCCACGGCGCATCGCCAGCGGTCGAGGGTCGCTTCGGCACTCCGGCCCAGGCGGCAATCGAGTTCGGTCAGCACCACATCGCTGAACTGCTCCGGAGCCTGGCGCGCCCCACCGAAGACGGCGCTCAACGACTGGGCCTCCACAGTCTGCCTCCGGTACGCGTTGTTCTCACCGCCACCACCACACCATCGCCCCACCGCACATATGTTTGTTATTACAATGCACCACAACGCACAAGGTCAGTACTCTGACTATTGCTGTCAGGAGGTGGTGGTGCACGTGCTGTCGTTCGTGGCCAACGCGCACGACCTCTGCTCCCTTTCCATGGTGCCCGACGACAGCCCTCTCAGTTGAACATTATTTGGGGATTTTTTTTTCATACCAGAACCCAACAACAGGTGAGCCGAGCGTTGGCGGCGGTGAGCCGGGACGACGCCCTGTGGAAGCCGCTCGGTCACCCATCGTGGGCCGATCACCTCAGGTTGGTTGGCCCAGGCACCACTAGACACAATCCACACGCACACGCACACGCACACGCACACGCACACGCACACGCACACGCACACGCACACGCACACGCACCTTCAATGATACTCAGGAATGGAAAACGCAACACACACAACACACAACACCAAGCAGCGAAGGAGGATGGAAGGGCGCGTACATGAGGTGGCTGCGCGCTGCCGTCTCGCAGTTCAGGCACGTTCAATGACACACAACGTAAGACACACGATTGAGCATAGGCTAAGCCACGACCACAGGAAACGCGACACCCACACTCTCCCACTCAAGCCATCAACACCTGGCGACTACCTGGCCAAAGTGGTCATGCAAGGCGACTAGTACGGCACTTTCCTCATTTCTACCCCATCTCTAGATTTGGCTGTGACACGCACACCGCACACCGCACACCGCACACGCGTAGTGGCGCAGGAAAATCGGCAATCATCCGCCGCTACGCGCGTGACGAATTCGAAGCCCATCATTCTCCGACCTTCGGCGCGGCCTTCGAGCGCCGCTGTGTGGAGTGGCATGCCAACAGGATCCAGGTGTGCATCTACGCACCACATTCATAATATGACACGCGCTCACACACAACCGCACACACTACCGCACACGCACGTGATTGTGTGGTCAGTTGCAATTGTGGGACATGAGCGGGCAGGATCGGTACAGATCGCTCTCGCCGATGTACTTCCGTGGCGCGCACGGCGCGGTGGTGGTCTACGACATCGCCAACAGGTCGACCTTCGACAAGGTTGGGCGCTGGCTGGAGGAAACACGCACGTACGCTCTCTCTCTCTCTCTCTTTCATGTTGCCATTGGCAATCTGACCTCAATTCATTCAACGCGCACCACCAGGTACGGACAAGAAGGCTTGGTCGTGGTGGTGGCGGGCAACAAGACCGACCTGGCCTCCTCGACCAGACGCGCTGTGACCGAGCTCGAGGGCAGGTAGGTACAACTTGTCAAGTCAAACATCATTTTTCTTTATTTTTTCTTGTGTGACATGGGCACACATGGCAACGTTGACAATGACACAGGCGGAAGGCGGAGGAGCTGGGCGCGCTGTTCTGCGAGTGCTCGGCCAAGACGGGAGACGGCGTGGCTCACGTGTTCGACCTCCTCGTGGGTGGCCTGATGGGCGGCTGGCAGCGCGTGGCCCACATGGCGACGCCGGCACACGTGCCCAGCGAGGCCCTCCTCGCCCAGCTCTTCCCACACGCCACCGCCGTAACCAATAGCAGCGCAGGCGCCAGCACGCAGCAGCAGCCACCAAGGTGTGCCCTCCAGTGATTGGCCTGGAGACACGCCCAGAGGAGCAAGAGAATTCTGGAAAACGGAATACTGCAGGGACCTGAGCGGCTGCCCACCTTCTGTGTGTGGCTTGCAAATAGCAAGCCCAACAAAGATCAGGAAGGCCCAGCCACCTCACGTGGCTGTTATGGAGGGGACAAAAATTGTGGAAATCATGGGGCTGAGGAGGCAGAGGGTCTCAATTCATGCTTTGGATCTGTGCAATAGCTGGCATTAAGCCAGTTCATTGCATAAGATGCGTCCATGTTGGCTTGGTGGAAATCGACGTCGTACTGGCCCGGCAGCTGATCGTACGCCACCGCTGCGGGCGTACCGCGGGTGCGCGCCCACACATCGTACTCCTGTCGCACCTGCGTGGCAGCCACCTCGGGATCCATCTTGCCCCACCCACAACACATCGCCGTACTCACAACGTGGTGGATGATGGGTGTCGCGGCGTTGATCTTGTCAACTAAGCGGTGCACAAAGGAAGTGGGCAGGTGGCAAGGCTCGCTACCTGTTCGTAGACGCAAACGATTTCCATGGTGTGTGTGGCGCCACTCCTTACGCAGATGGTCTGCGCCATGCCGTATGTCTTCATGGCAGGATCGGCGGCCTCCCACGTAATGGCTGTGCCCTCGTTGGTCACGTCAAAGGTCTAGGCCCGACAGGGGACCTCGGCGTTTGCGACTGCCAGCCTTGATGGCTTTTTCCAGCATGCGGCCAAAAACAACGGTCCCGCCATTGTCAATGGCGCAGAGGACCTTGATGACGCAGGCCACCTTGTCTAGGAAGTCTTGTTCTCACAAGTGAGACTGGTCTCGGCCGCGACGTCAAGGCGGACGTCTACTTGTTCGGCGTCATCCTGTGGGAGCTCCTCACGCGCAAGTGTCCCTACGCCGACGACAACTTCATGAGCGTCATCACCGCCGTCATCGACGGCAAGCCTCGAACGTTGCGCGTGGTGTCGACAGGAAAAATTGGCGCCAATTTTCAATTAGCCCATTGGTTGTCCAATCGGCCACTTTTGCAGCACAAAAAAATTGAAAACTCCTTCTGTTGTTCTGTGTTGTCATGATGCTGCGCCTCACCACCGCTCTCCTTCTTGCCCTCTCCGTGGCCGTCTTCCTCGTCGCCTCGGCCGCTGCAGACAAAGATGATGACCATGAGCCTATCCGGCGCAAGTTCCTCGACTGGATGACGACCCACAACAAGTCCTACGCCAACCCGGAGTTGGCCCACCGGTGGAACGTGTGGCGCGAGAATTACCGCTTCATCGAGGAGCACAACCGCCAGAACCACACCTACAGCCTGAGCATGAATCAGTTTGGTGACCTCACCTTTGACGACTACAGGGCACTCTACACCGTCACGATGCTACCGTTCAACGCTTCCAATTACGACGTCCACAATGCCACCTCCTCCGGCCTCGCCCGTCGGAACGTCGACTGGAGGAGCCAGAACTGTGTACAGAGAGTCAAGAACCAGGGTACCATGCCCCCCAAAGAAAGCCCACTTTTTTCGCTGCCAATCTTACATGTAGCATTTCCAAGGTTCGTGCGGGTCGGATTATACGTTCGCCGCCATCGGCGCCCTTGAAACTGCCCACTGTCTCAAGCATCGTCAGCTCCTCGACATGTCCGAGCAGCATCTCGTTGACTGTGGCGGCCGGGGCTGCAGCGGCGGTTGGATGCAAGACATGTTCACCTACCTGCAAAAAAATGGGGGTGCTACAGCCCAGGCCGAGTATCCCTACACGGGAGCCGTCGCTCAGTGCCAGGCTCAGAGCAAAAGGAAGGTTGCGCAGGTTACGTCGCACAAGATGATACAGCGAGGTAATGAGAATGATCTCATGCAGGCACTCTCCACAGTCGGGACCATCGCCATCGCCTACAACGCTGGGACCCAAGCGCACGCCTACTACCGAAGCGGAGTTCTAGACGTCCCTGGCTGCGGAAATACTCCCACCCACGCCGTGCTGCTCGTCGGCTACGGTAACGAGGGTGGCAAGGACTACTGGCTCCTCAAGAACTCGTGGGGCACAAGTTGGGGCGAAGCCGGCTACTTCAAGTTGGTACGCGGCAAAAACATGTGTGGCATCGCCGATTGGGCCTCCTATCCCATCATCGCCTAAGGGACGCTCTCCTGTTATTATTGTTGGGAAAACACTCTGTGTACAATCCTTTTGCCGGCAGCGTTTGCATCATCGGGAGGGTCGCAACGGACGCGGCCACCTCCGGCACCGGCGTGCTGTGCCAAAGACTGCGACTTGGCGGGGACCTCGAGGGGGCCGCGGGGAGCCATCCCCTCTAGAAGAAGGTCGCCTGTCCGAATAGAGCAGAGCGAAGCGGGCCGCGTGCGCAGATGTCTGTCGTCCAAGGAGAATTCGAGGTTGATCTTGGACGACAGCAGGATGGGTGGTTCGAGCGAACGTAGGCTTGAACGATGTTGAGTGCGGCGTGCACCTCCTTGCCGCTGTCGATATCGGTGAACCGGTGCGCGAGCAGCCTGTCGCAGTGCGCGAGCAGCCTGGCGCCAGCATGGCCCAAAAGGCGTTCGAGGTCTTGTCGACTGGTTGTGGCAGCAGCATCGTCGGCGCACATACGAGGAACTGCGAGAGCGACGGATTGGCCGACACCACGATAGCCGATCCGATGGGGAGAAAGGGTCGACCGATGAAGTCGCGGTGGCCCAACATTCCCATGAGTTTTACACACTGGCTCTATGCCCGGCCCCATTTCGCGTCTGTAGGCACGGTCGATCCCGCCGTCGGACGGCGAGACAAAGGCCCTGTTGCGGGTGCACCAGCGCAGGTCTTTGATGTCACTCACCGCTGATGCCGGTGCCGTTGAACTTGGCGTTGACGTACTCGATGAAGTCGCTGTCGAGCGCAACGAAGCTGAGGGTCGGCGTGAACATCGTCGAGATGGCGACACCTGTAGTTGTTCGGCGGTAGCCAAAACAACGCAGTTTGTTGCGACCCCAATAATTTTGAGGCTCTCACACTCCTGTTAGCGTGTGCGTTTGGAGGAGCGTTTATTGGGGGAGCACCACAACGGCATTGATCGGGAATCGTCTGAAATCGGGAACCGCTCAGGTCCCCAAATCATCACACCAGCCCTGGCAGCCTGAAAGCTGTACATCTTACTCGTTTTCGTTCTTGTTTTCTCGGCTCCTTCCCGCCCGCAACGCCGTTGAGAGTGGCTCCAGGCCAATCACTCACTGGAGCGCACACCTTGGTGGCTGTTGCTGCTGCGTGCTGTCTCCTGCGCTGCTATTGTTGGCGGTGGTGACGTGTGGGAAGAGCTGGGCGAGGAGGGCCTCGCTGGGCACATGTGCCGGAGTGGCCATGTGGGCCACGCGCTGCCAGCCGCCCATCAGGCGATCCACGAGGAGGTCGAACACGTCAGCCACGCCCTCGCCCGTCTTGGCCGAGCACTCGCAGAACAGCGCGCCCAGCTCCTCCGCCTTCCGCCTGTCATGCCAACGATGTCGTGGCCGTGAATAAAAGAAAAATGATGATTGACTTGACAAGTTGTACCTACCTGCCCTCGAGCTCGGTCACAGCGCGTCTGGTCGAGGAGGCCAGGTCGGTCTTGTTGCCCGCCACCACCACGACCAAGCCTTCCAGCCCGTACCTGGTGTTGCGCGTTGAATGCAAGATCAAAAATCAGAATAAAACTGGCCAATTGGCTTGGAGAGAGCGTACTGGTCAATTTCCTCCAGCCAGCGCCCAACGTTGTCGAAGGTCGACCTGTTGGCGATGTCGTAGACCACCACCGCGCCGTGCGCGCCACGGAAGTACATCGGCGAGATCGATCTGAAACGCTCGGGTCCGCTCGTGTCCCACAATTGCAACTAATGTGCGGTTATGTGTGAGCGCGTGTCATATGAATGTGGTGCGTAGATGCACACCTGGATCCTGTTGGCATGCCACTCCACACAGCGGCGCTCGAAGGCCGCGCCGATGGTCGGAGAATGACGGACTTCAAACTCGTCATGCACGTAGCGGCGGAGGATTGCCGATTTTCCTGTGCCACTGTTGCGTGTGAGTGTGCGGTGTGCGATGGTGCGTGTGCGGTGATGCGTGTGCGTGTCATGGCCATTCAGGAGATGGGGTAGAAATGAGGAAAGTGCCGTACGAGTCGCCTTGCATGACCACTTTGGCCAGGTAGTCGCCAGGTGTTGAGGGCTTGAGTGGGAGAGTGTGGGTGTCGCGTTTCCTGTGGCCGTTGGTGAGCCTGCGCTCACGCGTGGGTGTCGTGTTGTCGTGTTGTCGTGTGTCATAGAACGTGCCTGAACTGCGAGACGGCAGAGCGCAGCCACGTCATGTAGGCGCCCTTCCATCCGCCCCCTTCGCTGCTTCGAGTTGTGTTTTGTGTTTTGTTTGTGTGGTCTGACGTGTGCCTACAACACGTGTGTAGTGGTGCCTGGTCCAACCAACCTGAGAATGTGGTGATCGGCCCACGACGGGTGACCGAGTGGCTTCCACAGGACATCGTCCCGGCTCACCGCCGCCAACGCTCGGCTCGCCTGTCAGAGAATGTTAGCCGTGTGCACTTCTCCCGATTGCTCAATGGGTGCGATGGGATGTCGTCGGGCACCATGGAAAGGGAGCAGAGATCGCGCGCGTTGGCCACGAACGACAGCATGTACACCACCACCTCCTGTTGTAACAAGCACGTATGTATCGCGGTAGGCGATGGTGTGGCGGGGTTGACAACAACAACGACGCGTACCGGAGGCAGACTGTGCAGGCCCAGTCGGTGAGTGCCGTCTTCGGTGGGGTGCGCCAGGCTTCGGAGCAGTTCAGCGGTGTGGTGCTGCCCGAACTCGATGGCCGCCTGGGCCGGAGTGCCGAAGCGACCCTCGGCCGCGGGCGATGCGCCGTGGGCCACCAGCAGCCGCACCATCTCGTCGTGGCCCTTGCGCGCCGCTGCCGAGAACATGAGAATGACTGCGGCCCAGGGCACACCGCGAGTGTGGTGCGGGGGATGGGTACCGTAGTGGAGGGCGGTGTCGCCGTGGGCGTTGCGCGCGTCGATGTCGACCACCAGGCGCCGGGCGAGCAGCTCGCGCACGCCCTCGATGTTGCCCCGCAGGCACATCAGATGCAACACCGTCTGGTGATGCCCCACAATAGCAACGAGCACAACAATTTAGTTATGCAGGGCGCAATCAGAGTCACCACACAAGCGAGCAGCAGCGCATATTATACCTCGCCGCTGGACGAGGTGGGCACGTTGGGATCGACGCCGGCCTCAGCAGGACTTGCAGCAGAAGTATGCCCGCCGGCTTCTCCTGCTCCTGGGGGGTGGAGTTGTGTATGTGTGGGCGCTGTTCGGCGAGCACGTGGAGGGCGTGCATGCCATCGACGCTCGACCGGTGGTGCGGGTCGGCTCCGCTGGCCAGCAGCAGCTCCACCATCTCCACGTGACGCGCCTCCACCGCCATCATCAGCCCCGTCCTGCCCCCCCCCCAAAATTGAGCTAATTGTGTTTGTTAGAAATAACTAAATAAATAAAAATGAACGCGGGGGGCACCAGCCAAGGTGGTCGACAGCGTTGATCGTGTGGTGGTGGTGGTGTGGCGGGTTCTCGTGCAAGAGCTGCCGCACGCGTAGCACGTCGCCAGCGGCCACCGCCTCCAGGAAGGCCTCACCAGCCACCGCCGCTTCTGCTGTTGTTGTGCACTCCTCCTCCATAATGGCTATTGCTTCGTCTTCTGCCGTCCAGGCCTGTTTTGTTTGGTCAGTCTGCACACTAAAATAATTCCTTGAATGGCGATTGGGCCAAACAGAAGCCCGCCTCTTCGTTCTTTCTTCGTTCTTTACTGTTTTCGTTTTTGTACTGTTTTTTATGTGCGTGTGCGTGTGCGGTGTGAATGAGACGCGGGAATCGGACGGAAACTCGATCCTAGTGGACGCCTAGCAGATCTGTTTGAGAAGGTAGTCGAACTGCCCCGGCCGTTTGAGGATGTTCTTGAGGTTGAGCGTGCCACGCCCAGCACCGACGTCACCGCTGGGGTTGAAGCAGAGCCGGCCGAGCAGGTCCTTCACGCAGTGGGCGTTCGTGAGGCGCCTGGGGCGTTTCTTGGACTTGATCTCGAGGGAGCGGTCGTAGGCCAGCAACCACGCGATGACGCCCGCGATGAAGGGCGCCGCCATGGACGTGCCTGAGGCGTATTGGTACCAGCACTCAGGCTTCGCGCCGGCGATGCCGGGCAGCGTGGTCTGCCCAGACGGAGGCGAAGTCGGCATCGGTATGATCCAGGTCGAGAGTATGTCCTCGCCTGGCCCAGCGGCGTCGATGTGGGCGCCACCGATCGAGGTGAATGCAGAAGCGCGACCGTGAGCGTTGACGCTGCCGACGCGGATGACGCCGGGGATGGTGGCCGGGAAGCGGATGTTGAACTGGTGGTTGCTTCCCGCGTTGCCCGCGGCGCAGACCACGATGATGCCCGAATTGATGGCTTTCTGAATCGCGTTGTGGAGACCCTCGTGGTACTTGAAGCCGCCGAGGGACATGGAGATGAGGTCCACGCCCTGCGCGATGGCCCACTCGACACCTCGAGCAACGTCCTCCTGCTTGACGTTTTGATGCTGGTCGGCAACCTTGGCCACGTAGAGCTGCACTCCGCACGCGACGCCCGAGCGTGCGCCGGCGATGATGCCCGCGCAGTGCGTACCATGGCCGATCAGGTCGAGGCACGATATCTCTGAGTCCACAAAGATTGCCGTCGCTGCTATGGCCCCTGCGAGATCCGGGTGTGCCCAGTTCACCCCCGAGTCGAGAATTCCGATCTTGATCTGCTTGAGCGCGGCCAACCGCGCAGCGTTCGACGCGAAGAGCTTCGTGCAGGCCAGCTCCCGCAGTCGCTCCGCTTCTGGCTTGTGAGCGGTGTAGAGCCTGGTTGGTTCCCCGAGGCTGGAGGGTGAATAGCGACGTCAGCCGGCCGGAGGCCTTCTTGGCGGCGTAGGATCTACTTACGCGGCAACCCCCGCGACAGGGCAGTGAACGGATCGGTGTTGGTCTCGTCGATGTAGACAATCTTCACCTGCGGGTACGAGCTCCGAAACGACTTGAGTTCGTCAGGCCCCTCGATGTGCACCTGCTCGAGCTTGGGCATGGGCGGCAGGTCCTTTGGCAAGACTGTCGCACGCGATCGATCAAGGTGTTATAGTATAGAGAGAGAGAGAGAACAAGAAGGTCTGTTTGATAGATGGTACCGTCGGTGATGAGCACGCGCAAGGCGTCCAAGGACACGTGGGGCACGTGCCGCAGGAAGACGTAGGGCATGGCCAGCACCTCGACGTGCGGGAAAACAGGGTCGGGCAACACGGCGCGCACGTACTCTACGTTTGACGCCGGCCACGCTCTCCGAGTTTGACAAGCGGGGCTCAACAAGACCTTGACTGCTCTTGGAGACCAAAGGCGCAGCATCCGAATCTTCTCCAGATTTGAGGGCGTGGGTGGTTGCGGGTACCACTCGGTGTCGCTGAGCTTCCAATCCAGCAAGTCGAGGTGTGGTGCGAGGTGTAGTCCCCTTTAGGTCTGTGCCGCATAATCACGCGCCATTCGCCGAGGGTAAGACTGGTGATGGCATTGGGCGCATTGTCGGCGTGCCGCGGGCTCGAGCGGTTCGTCTTCTCGTTGTCGAGATGCCCAACTTCCTCCTCGCCTTCGTCTTGTCTCCTCTTCATTGATTTGATTTGAGTTGCTTCCCCTTGCGTTCCGGAAGCTGTCGTTTTGCTGTTTCCTATTGGTTGCAATAATAGTAAGAAAAAATTCCTATTGGCCGCAAAATGTATGGGGAAGGCACTGCGTCAGGCAATGACACACTCTGCGCCGTCTTGTTGATGGTGTCCCTGTGCCGCCTGTCGGTCATTACGAGGTTTTGCTGAGGCCGACGACGAAGATGAAGCTTCACCGGCATCATGTGGTGGTGGCTGCTGGTTTTCATCTGTTGGCGAAGGAGAAGAGGAGGAGACGCGGGCGTTCATGCGTTCGAGCAGATCGCGCGCGGTGGCGCTCGCGGCCCTCTCCTCCTGCTCCCGCGCCTCTCGCTGGCGCAGGTCGGTCGGCAGCGGCAGAGGCAGCACTTGCTCCTTGTCGATGGCCAACAGCTTCGCTCCGAACGCGCTGATGCGACCTGGTGACTTCATCGCGTCCTCCTCCTGCACGCACGCGCGCGCACACGTACACACACACGCACACACACGCACGCACACACACACCGCACACCACACACATCGCAAGCGGTTGAGCGGGACAGATCGCGACTGAGAGGGAGGTGGAAGGCGCGTACAAGTTGGAGCTGTACGCCGATGCTGTGCCGCAGGGCGTCGTCGACGGCCTCACCGCTCCGCTTCAGCACCGCGCACCTTCGCTCCAGCTCTGTGTTGTGTGTAGCGCCATGCGTCGATTGTTGGTGTGAGTGAGAGTTGAAACCAGCCAAGAAGAAGATGATGATTCGAACAAGATGAACCACGCCAGAGACCTGTGAGTGTCTCAAAGACCTGGTCCAGCTCGCGGTCGAGGTCCGCGCACCAGCCTCGCCCATCCATCAGGTCCGTCAGCGCCATTCTGTCCCACAACAAATAAAATAAATATGTAAATAAAATAAACAAATAGTTTAAATCAGTAAATAGCCACATAAAACAATTATTGTTAAATTTATAAATAAATAAGGGTACCCGCAGGCCTGGGCTTGCTCGGGGTTGGGGTGGTGGTCCAGCCACGCGTAGAGCTCCCCCTGCACTCGCTCCCCCGCGTCATCTTCCTCCTCCTCATCATCCAGCAGTGCCCCGTGTGGCTCGCCCGCCGCACAGAAGCTTTCCTTGCTCCTCGCCCCTTCATCTTGCGCCATCATGGGATTGATGAAACCCCCACTCGGGCTCGGCCCGTAGTGCTCGCCATGCAGCGCGAAGAGGCGGGCGACCACAGCGCCCTGGCGCGCGGTGAGCGGCGCGCCGTCGCCCCACCCCAACCCCACCTGCTGGCGCTGGTGCTGCCAAGGCTCCATCATCTGTCAAGATCAACTCGTCGCGATCAGGACAGAAATAAAGAAATAAAACAAAAACAGATAAATAAATAAGGAAGAGATAACAAACTTATTTGTTGTGTCTTCGTTCGCGGCGGAGAGTTTCCTCCGTACAAAAAGAAGAAGAGGCACTCGCACCTCTTCATCACCCTCCTCCCTTTCTCTTTTTTTTTGTGTCCTTTGTTCGCGTGTGTCGTGCCGTGTGCCGTGCTGAGTAGATTCCGTTGCGCATCGCAGCTTCCCTTCGTTCGCCTATCTATACCCACTGCGCCCGCAGCCCTCGCTCGTTGCGACACGCGCGCGCGCGGCGGAGAGTGCGTGAGGAGATGATCGATCTTCTCCATCATATCACCACTCGAACTCTCCGTTGGCCCGGTTGAAGAGGTAGTCCCGCCCGTTCAGGTGCATCACGCCCGCCTTTAGATTACACTTTCTCTTGTTCTTGATGCGCGTCACCTGCGCACGCGAAGTGTAGAGCAGCAGCGTTCAGAACTTGTGATGCAGCACGGCACACACGGCACACCCACGACACGACACGACACGTGTCATACCTTTTCGAATTGGCAGAGGGCGATGTTGTCTGTGTCGGGCTCCTCTCCCTCTTCATCGTCCAAGTCCGATCCCAGATCCTCGTCGCCATCGTTCTCCTTCTTGATCTGAAGGTGGTCGTAGAAATTGAGCGTTGAGTCGCTAGAACTGAAATGAAGACACGGCAGGACGAATGTGTGTGTACCCCCAGGTCGTCGTCGCCATCGTCGTCATCGTCGTCGTCGCCGCCATCGTACTGGGGAAGGTTGCTGGGGTGCTGGGGTGCGGGACGCCCTCGTGCCTGCGCAGCTGCGGCAGCGGATGTCGGCTGCCTTGCGGCCGAGTAGGCCGCGAGCGAGTTCGCGCTCCACTCCTGCGGCGGCTGTTTCCGTACAAACCACAACAAACAGAAACAAGAGAGTTACAGATCGGGTTGACTGGTATGTATGTAGGAAAGACGTGTAGTGCAAGTAGTACCATGTAGGGCTGCGGCCGACCGTACTGAGGTTCGACTGGTGGCTCTTGAGGCTGTGGGTGGGAGTAGCCAGCCGCCGCCCGCGCCATGTGCTGTGCGTACGAGGGATTGAGGAGGAGAGCGCTCTCTGGCGGCATCGACGCCGAGTCGAGGTTGTAGGCGTTGTTGCTGTAGAAGTAGGCCAGGTGCTGGTTCACGTCGGTTTCGGCCGCGGGAGCCGCTGGCTGCGCGGCAGTGTCCGACTGGGCCAGCTTTGCTTCCCACACCTGGGCAAAAAGAAGAAAAGAAAATAGGAGGAAATGTAAATATGTGCGGAATGCGCGAAAAAGTAGAAAAGGAGTTCGCGAGCCGCAGCACAACACAAATCAATTTCATGCGATGATGGCAAATTTGCATTTGAATGATAGAGACTGGATTGGAAGGCCTTTAGTTGAGGCGCTACGCCGCGAGGCCTCGCGGTGTGCAAGAATTGATTGTGCGGGGTAGTTGCACAAAAGAGATCTGTGATCACAGCGTACCTGCTGCAGCTCTGCAAGGACTGATTCGGGGATGCCCTCGCTGAGAAACTCGTGCTTGATGTTCTTAATGACATCTTCCATCACATACTTGTAGACCGAGCTCGTGGAAGTCATCTCTCTCTCCTCCTGTGCACGCAATCTCTCTTCCTAATGTTTCTTCTCCCTGGACGCCCCCTTTCGACCGTCTTGTGTGGCCTTTTGTTTGCCGAAACTGAGCGTAAATAAAGGCCCTGCGGTCTGTCCCACAATGGCTGCGCGCGCATTTTTATGTCGACACTTGCACACCTGCTTCGCATTCTTGAATTGTAAAGCCATTTCGAATCTGCTTTTTGCATTATTCGAGCTCGGCCTTCTTCCTGTCTGGAACGTCGCCAAACCCAAGATTCTCATAAGCGGGCGATAACAAGTTATCGACATCTCGCTTTCGAGGAGGTACCTCTTTGTCACCCGCCTGGCTCCTCTTCCCGCTCTCGCGCTTGGTACCCGATCAGATTCAAAGCGTTTTGAATCGGTTCCATCTCCATCATCTCCATCTTCCCCCGCCTGCAATCTCTACGCGAATCGATCCCCTTTGTGCACGCGTGGAGCTTCCTCCTCACCGTCAAAAACTCTACAGAAGATCCGGTAATAAAAAACAAAGATGGGCTCAAGACAACGCAACGGCGGATCTTGTGGGCGATGCTCGTGCATCCTCGTTGTGCTGGCGGTGGTCGTCACCGTCGGCCTCATCGGGTGGAATTGGGCCGGCCACACGCTCACCGCCAATGGCCAGCTCTCGGCCGGCTCTTTTAACCCCTACGCGGCCGAACGCGAGGCGCTGGCCATGGAGCGCGCCTCGCTGGAGCAGGAGCGCTCCTCGCTCGACCGCGAGCGCGAGGAGCTCGAGATCGAGGCCGATCGCAACCGCAAGGAGGCAATCAAGCTCGACCACGAGCGGTCCGACGTGGAGCGCCACCGCTCCGACGTGAAGCTGGCCACGGCCGACATCGAGAAGGACCAGGAGGAGCTGACGCTCGGCCAGGCCAAGCTCGAGAAGGACCGGTCCGAGCTGCAGAAGACCAAGCAGGCGCTCGAGGAGGAGACGGGCAGAGTGCAAGAGTTGCGCGAGAGCCTCGAGGAGATGCGCGAGCGGCTCTCGGCCGAGAGGGCTAAGGTAGACATCGACCGAGCCGCCGCCAAGGACCTCATCAACGCCGTCAAGAAGATGCAGGAATCGGGCTTCAGCAACGCCGAACAGGAGGAAGAAGAGGAGGAGTCCACAGATGCGGAAGCCACCGAAGACGAACCCGTCGAAGAGGAGACCGCCGAGGCAGAGGCAGAGGCAGAGGAGACCGCTGACGATGTCGGCGATGCTGGCGCTGACGAGTCTGCTGAAGAGGTCGACGACCAGTCGGCTGCGGAGGTCGACGACGCACCGCAGCAGACCGATGACGACGCGACGGGCGCTGAGGATGACGGCGACGCCGTCAACGAAGCTTCTGATGACGATGCGAACACCAACGCAGCGGTGGTCGACGACAACGACAATCTGGTGGAAGCCGCGACGCCCGCAAAGAGCGTCTTCGTTAAGAAACCGGTGCCTCCCTTGCGCGGCGGCTTGGGCGCCAAGCCCAACAAGATCTACGCCAAGCCCAAGGCCAAGGCGCAGCAGCCCGCGCCTCCTCCCGTGGTCCCGTCCAAGAAGAACACCAAGAGGAAGCCCACCAAGCAGCGCAGTGGCTGATCAATGCCGTCTGTGCGCACCACACACCAGCCCTCCACCCCGGCCTTGGTTTTTTTAAAACTTCAAATCAAAAAAATCAAAAAAAAATCAAACCTAACACGCCCACCACCTCTATGGTCTTTGGCCGCCTAACACTAGTGTAACACTACATCTAGTGACCACCTGATATACCATTTAGGGCACTGTATTGCTTTTTGGTATTTGCTTTCCTTTTCGGGCCTTGAGGCGCATGACAGGGTCGGTTCGCATGTCCACACGCCCAAACAGTGGTGGCACATGGGTCCCACACATGTCGGGATGGCGGCGAGGTGAGTCAGCTCTCTCGAAGGTCGTTGGCTTGTCCGTGTCTGGCTGAGCTTAGTCGGGCCTCCACGGTAAGGAGACAACAGAGGAAGACAGGCGAGGTGAAAGTTAGAGAGATAGGGAGGAAGAGAGAGAGAAAGAAAGAGGAAGAAGAAGATGGAAGCGGCATCGTCGATCAGGGCGTCGATGGTGATGATGGCGGTGTGGGTGTGCCTGGTCCTGCTTCTGGGCACGGGCCGAGCAGCCTCGCAGAGCGTTGAATCGGTCGACCCAGGCTTGGACGCTCCCTACGCCTCCGACTACAGCCTGTCCGCCCCCAACTACACGCGCCTTGCTGGCGGTACCCCCTCCTTTGCGGCCTGGATCGCCTTTCTTTGTGGACCGCTGCTGATTCACCATCTTGCAAAAGGCTCGCGCAACAACCTCGCCAACACAGCGTGGAACGCAGGATCGACCGCTTACATTTCGAGTACGTCGCGATTAATCAAATCAATCTTACGAACCAATCTCTTGCAACACAGCATTAATCCTCATCTTTGATTTCACCCCCCATCATTCAATTAACAATCCGATTGATCGTCTGCAGCGCTGGTCCCCCACGCATATGATGATGGGATCAGCGCCCCAGCCAGGTACTCCTGCCCCCCCGGGGTCTCCTTGTCCTTCTTTCACTGACGACTTGTCTGTGGTGCAGGCCAGACGGCCCCAACGCGCGCCTGGTCAGCAACAAGCTCTTCTCGCGGCTCGCCAGTACGGACCTTGCCCCCCCCCGCCGCATTACAGCTAACTCTAACACCTCCTCTCCTTCTCTTGAACAGAGTCCAACAAGCTGCTCACCAACGATCTGCAAACGATCTGGGGCCAGCTCATCGTGCTCGACGTCTGCAACACCCTGCGAGGTACCTCCACCCACCCTTCTTTTCTGGCCCAGGCCTGGCCCAACTGCCTTGTATCAACGTGACGCGTGTTGTGTCCGAACAAAGGGCCGAATTTGCTTGGTGCGCAGTACACCGCGTTGAGGGGAGGCCGCAACTACTCCATAGAACACTTTGGCGTCCCCATTCCCACCGGTACAGAACCTTCGCATCGGGGGCACATCGCTCGAGTACCAACACACCGGCTGACGCTTCTGTTGATGTGGTGCGGCGTGATGTGGTCTGTGCCAGACGACGTGTTTCTGAACCCGTATGCCGAGGAAGACCTGGAGTGCGCGGTGGAGCGCTCGGCGCCCTACCCGCCCACCATGGACGTCGGGCAAGTCCGCCAGCAGATGATGGACATCACCGGCTGGATCGACGCCGGCTGGCTCTACGGGTACACACAGTAGTGTCGTTGGTCGTTGGTCGTTGGTCGTGTCGTGTTGTGTGACTCACACACGCGGCGATGACCACAGCACTTCTGGCAAGAACGGTGCTGGGCCATTCTCCTGGGCGCAGATCCGCGAAGACAGCGGCGTATCGTGCAAGCTGAACAACGCCAAGTGGATGGCGCCCTCTCTGGTGCGTCCAAACTTATGCAACAATTGGTCGTTGTCGGCTTTCTCTGTCTGCCGAGCAGACGCGCCTGTGAGTGTGCGGTGTATCTGTCGCTGCTGACACACACACATCACACCCACAACACCGCACAGTTCGGTCTGCATTTCACGCCCGATTCGGGAACGACGCCCATCTGGAAGATGAGAGGTGACCTGCGTACCAACAAAACGCCCGATCTCATTTCACTTACCGAGGTTGGTTCATCCCTCTTCTCCACTCTGTGCGTGCGCGCGCGACGGTGTATGTTGCGGTGATGTGCCGTGTGCCCTTGCGTGCGCAATGAAACACCAACCTTGGCGAGGGGCCAAAACAAAAGGTGTTTGGTCTCGAGCACAACCGCCTGTGCGACGAATTCGCCGCGGCCCACCCCGAATGGGATCAGGAACGGCTCTTCCACGAATCTCGCAAATGGTACCCCCGCCTCTCCACCACGTTTCGCAATCTTCTCCACCAACCACCACCCACCACCCACCACCCACCACCCACCACCCACCATCGTCGTCGTCGTCTACTCAACGACAATGCGGACACTCTTGGAAAAAACAGGGTCATCGCCTACCTGCAGAAGATTTCCACTCGCGAATGGCTGGCTGCGGAGATGGGCTCCCCCCTCAACTCCACCCACTACAGCTTGTGTATAGGCCTACAGATCCTACCACCCCTCTACTGGTTGTTTCCTCACCCCCTTCACATACTCACCAAACCTCACAGACGGCTACGACGCCACGGTCGACCCGAGGATAGAGAATTTCTTCTGCTCCGTCGCCTTCCGCTATGGACACTCACAGGTGTCGTGCGTGTGTCGTGTGTGTGTGCGTGTATGTGTGTCGTGTCGTGTGATTAACCAAGTTGTATTTGCACACGTGCAGGTGAATTCCCACATTCCTCTGCTCAACGATGACTACCAGGAAAGCGAACTGGGCAATGTCCTCGTGCGGGACTGGTATTTGTACGTCATTGCCCCATCCCATGCCTTGCCAATGTTGAATGTGAATGTGGGAGAGAGCTAATGTCAGAGCATTTTCACTGAATTCAATCAGCGCCACCAAGAAGATGATGGACCTGGACATGGCCCCGTCCCTCCTGCGCGGCCTTACGGTCACCCGCCAGGGCCTTGTCGACACCTCATTTGTCGATGATCTGTACGTTACTTTCCACTTAGCGTTGTGCACAATTCAGATTAGATAGACTTATCATGTAGATATATGATAGATATATGATAGATATCTGTGAAATCTAATAGTAATGTTGTGCACACGTGTCCACAGCCGCAACTACATGTTCTCGTCGGTGGCGTTCACCCAGTTCCAACAACAGGAAGCGTGCCCGGACTTGGCCGCAACCAACATTCAACGCGGCCGGTACGCCAACGCGCTCCTCTCATAGTGCTGCCCGCGGGGCGCCCTGGAGACACTCACTCGCACACACCCTCGCCGCGGCGCAGCGATCACGGCATGCCAAACTACAACGCGGCGCGTGAGGCGGTCGGCCTGGATCCCGTCGACGCCTGGAGCGATCTCATTTCCGACGCCGAACTCCTCGTACGCCCCCGCCTCCCCGCCCCGCCGTTCTATCGAAAAGAAAGTTCTCTACCTACCCACATACGAGACCCTGGAGAGGCTCACAAGCATTGTATCGCTCGAATTTCCTCTCTCTCACACTTTACACAGGCCCTCGTCGAGTCGCTCTACCCGGATGGCCCGGACTCGGCCGACCCGTATGTGGGCGGCCTCCTCGAAGGTATATCCCCAGGCCGCACCTCTCCTAACGCCCCTTTGGTTGCTGTTGTTGTCGTTGTCGTCGTGGTCGTCGTTGTTGTTCTCATTGCGGCATGTTCCACAGAGCACGTCCCCGGAGCGGCTGTTGGAGCTCTCTTCCGAGCAGTCGTCATGAACCAGGTACGCGTGCGTGTCGCGCCATTTGTTGGTGTTGGGGAGGTGTTGTGTCGTGTTGCGTGTCGTGTCGTGTCGTGTGTGCTAAGACGCACATTGCCCCAATGTGTTCAGTTCGAACGACTGCGCAACGGCGATCGTTTCTGGTACGAACGAAAGGGCATGTTCTCTGCCAACGAATTGACTCAGATCTACCAAACGGTGCGCTGTCCTTGCCCCCCACCACCACATTCCACAACGCATTCCACAACACAAGCCCTGTCTTTGCGCGCATTCCTGTTCTCACCGGGAATCGGCGATGTGGGTCGTGTGGCTGATCATTTAAACCACACCGTGCGGTGGACGACCAGACTCTCATGGACATCGTCAACCGCAACATGAACGTCAGCAAGTGGGGTACCGTGCCCGGCGACACCTTCTTCCTCCGGCAGCGCTACCTCGCCAACATCGGTACGTTGATCATGCGTGTGCGTGTGCGTGTGCGGTGGTGCGTGTGCGGTGGTGCGTGTGCGGTGGTGCGTGTGCGTGTGCCGAAGCTCAAATCGCCGGTGCGGTCTCGATGCAGGAGGCGACCAGTTCTTCTCGGGACTGGGCGACTACGATCACTTTGTGGAGCTGTCCCCGGCCTACCGCCTGTCATGGACGCCCAGAGTGGCCAGCAACGAAATCGACCTCATGATCCAGGTACCATTCATTTTTCATCGCACACGCACGCACGCGCACGCACACGCACACGCACGCACTGATCGTGTTCTCTGTGCAGTGCCGTACCAGCGGATGGGTCGGTGTGGGTTTCAGCCCGGACAACGGCACCATGAAGAATGGCGACATCGTCGTGTGCTACCGGTCGGAGGATTATGGCTGGCAATTCCTTGATGCCTACGCCCTCGACGTCGGTGTGCCCACGGCCGACTCCACTTTGCCCGGCGGCACCAGCGACTTGAGCCAAACCTCCGGCACCTACGCCGATGGTGTCGTTACCTGCAAGTTTACCCGGTGCGTAAGTGTGCGGTGATGTGTGCGGTGTGTGTGCGGTGTGTGTGCGCGCACGCGCGCGCCCGTGCAAAGCTTGTGGTCTGAACGTCTGTGATTGCAGAAAGATCAATTCAGGAGACCAGTGGGACAAGGTGATCGGCGAGGGCTTCGTGAAGGTCATCTTTGCGTTCCACCCGACGTCCAACGAGCTCATCTACCACGGACCCACGCGTTCCTCCGCCGCGCGCCTCAACCTCCTCAACACCTGCATCGGCCCCAGCTGCCTGGTCACCACCTCCTCCAGCGACACCGGTACACTCCCGCCACACACTCCCGCCTCACACACACACACACACACACACACACACACACACACACACACACACACACACACACACACACACACACACACACACGACCGCACACGCACACGCACACGCACACACACATTGCTGATGAGTTGTTTTGTTGTAGCGGCGGTGGTGGGCGGCGTGGTGGGCGGCGTGGGCGGCCTGCTGCTGCTTCTGCTGTTGGTGCTGGTGGCCATCTTCTTCCTGCTGCTGGCCCGCCGGAAGAAGAAGGAGGAGAAGCTGCGCCTGGCCGAGCAGTGGTCCGACGAGGAGACCGACACGGAGATGGACGAATTCTCGGGCTCGGAGTCGAGCATGCTCCATTCGTCGGCGGCGGGCATGGCCATCCGCCGGCTCTCCATCACCGACCTCGAGACCTCCAACATCTCCTTCGAACCCCAGGTCAGTCGACTAGCCTGCGCCCCCACTATCGCACGCGTACGTCACAGTCTTGTCTGACAACCGCACACGACACGACACGACACACGCGCACCGCACACACAACATCGCACTACACGACACGACACGCGACACGACACACGATACAGGTGCTGATGTTCGGTCTGGGCAACAACGACAAGTGTCCGGTGGACAAGGAGGTGAGCGATGAGTTTGTGATCACCAACCACGGACCGACGCGCAAGTTCACCTTCTTCGTGCCCGCCGAGAACGAGAAGTTCACCTGCCGCCTCTACCCCGGTTCCGGCGTCATCAAATCGGTACAGCACCAAACCGCACACACTACCGCACACACCACACACCGCACGCGCCACCGCACGACACACGCTGAAGCGACCAATGTTGATGTGCCACGCAGGGCAAGAGTGTGACGATCAACGTGCATGTGGTGCTGCTGATGACGACGGACATCGAGCGCAAGATCCGATTCGATGTGGAGGGCCTCGGCTCCTACCTCATCTCCATCAAGCTCGTCGGCGAACTCTCCACCAAGCTCGACCCCGACGACATCGACATGCTCCAGCCCCCCATCGGTTCGCACACACCGCACACGACACGACACGACACGACACGACACGACCAACGACACGACACGACCAACGACACGACCAACGACCAACGACACGACCAACGACATGTGGCTGAAATTCTTCCGAAACGAAACCATCATAGGCCAGGGCTCGTTCGGCACGGTGTTCAAGGCCAACTACCGCGGACAGGAGGTGGCGGCCAAGCTGCTCAACTCCCAAATGGACAAGCGCCTCATCGCCGAGTTCCACCGGTGCGCCGCCGCCGCCACCTTAATCAAAAGCGTGCCACACGTCGCCAGCCGCCTTAACTACTACTACGCCACCTTAACTCATGACTGGGAGACCACGACAGGGAGGTGGACATGATGACGCGGCTGCGGTGCCCGTGGGTGATCAACTTTGTCGGGGCGTCGTTCGTGCCCAACAAGATCTGCCTCGTGACCGAGCTCTGCACGCTGGGCTCGGTGGGCGACGTCATCTTCTCGCAGCGCAACTTCAACTACCTCCTCGTCCTCAAGTTCGCCATGGACATGGCCAAGGCCATCTCCTTCCTCCACACGTACGTCTCCAACGCTGTGTGGCAGCCTCAGCTCAACACTGACACGTCATCGCGTGTCGTGCGTCGTGTGTCGTGTGTGTCGTGTGTGTCATGTGTGTCATGTGTGTCGTGTGTCGTAGGAACCGAGTGTTGCACAGGGACATTAAGCCGGACAATTTCCTGATTGTGGCGCTCTCTTCCAAGGCCCCCGTCTCGTGCAAGATCGCCGACTTTGGTACTTCCAGGTACGCACACACGACACTCGATGACGACACGACACGACACGACACGCACGGCTTACGATGTGTGCGGTGGTGCAGGTCGATCCAGCAGGCGCAGGAGTTCTTCAACCACACGGCCGCGCTGGGCACGCCCATCTACATGGCCCCCGAGATCCTGGACCACAAGCCCTACTCGGCCAAGGTCGACGTCTACTCCTTTGCCATCGTCCTCTGGGTTCTCTACACCAGGCACGCCCACCCCACTCACCGCACACACCCAATCGCACACGCACACACTCTACCGCACACACCGCACACGCGCGACCGCACACACCGCACACGCGCTCATGTGGGCGGTTGGTGTGCAGGAGGGAGCCGTACACGGAGATGAAGCGGGCGTGGGACATCCCGAAGGCGGTGCTCAAGGGCTCCCGGCCGCCCATCCCCGACCACTGTCCGCGGCCCTTCGCCGACCTCATCATCCAATGCTGGGCTCAGGACGCCGCCGACAGGTTCGCTTCACCGCACACGCACACACGACACGACACACGCACACATTGTAACACGACACGACACGACACGCGCAGGCCGGAGATGGCGGATGTGGTGACGCAGCTGGAGAAGCTGTTCGAGGAGGAGAAGGCGCTGAAGGGCGACCGCGACGAGGCGGGCGCGGGCAAGAAGGGCGCCGGCGCCAAGAAGCCGTCGGACCGGGCGCAGACGGCGCGCGGGCATGACGACGACGCGGCCGACGACTCGGACGAGCCCGCGGCCGAGGAGATCCGCACCGGCACCTGGGCCGGCGGCCGCAAGGGCATCGCCCTCGACGACTCCCCCGCCGTACGCCCGCCTGCGCGTGTCGCCTCGCGTGTCGTGTCGTGTCGTGTGCGGTGCTGAGGAATGTGAGAAATGTGTGTGAGTTGCAGGAGAGGGAGGAGAGTAGTTCGAGCGGGAGCAGCTCGAGCGATGAGGGGGAGTACGAGGAGGGGAGCGTCAAGGGCAAGGTGCAGAAGAAGCTGGCCTCGTCGATCAAGGGCAAGGGCAAGGAGAAGAAGGACAAGCGCAACTACACCGGCGGCTTCTAGAGGACACCGCACACGCACCGCACACGCCGCGCACACGCCGCGCATAGAGCATCTATGGCACACGACACGACACGATACCGCACGCACGACGCACGACACGCGCGATACCGCATCGCGAACGAAAGACAGAAAAAAGGAGTTCATTATTATTATTGGCTGTTTTCGGGGACGCGCTCCATGTCCTGCGTCAGGAACGACCCGTGGTTCATCAGCGCACCGATCCAATCTTGCTTGTCTGCACACCGCACACGCACACACCGCACACACCGCACACACCGCACACACCGCACACACCGCACACACCGCACGACACACGCCCGCCGCACACGCAGAGTTTAGGAGGCGAGATGGTGAGAGGGGGGAGAGGGGGGGGCGTACCCTCTTCAGAGTCGGTGTAGAGGTACCACTCGCGGGCCGGGGTGGAGATGGTGAAGCTGGTCCGGGCCGCCGGGTCTTCGGTGACGGCGGAGAACTTGAGGTCGATCTTGCCCTTGGCCTTGGTGTCCTGCGTGGTGGTGTAGTAGTAGAGGGTCGAGTCCTTGAGCACGAACCACCGCGTGCGCCACGACATGGGCCCGGTCTGGCCCTTCTTCTGCATCCACCCCGTCTTGGTCGGCTTCGACACGCTCGCCACCGACTCGCTCTGCCACCACCGCCACCAGATGAGGGGGCGGGTTGGAGGGGGCGGGAGGGGGCGGGAGGGGCTGGAGGGGGCGGGCGGGGCTGGAGGGGCGTACTCGGCACAGCATTTGGGAGCGTTTGACCCAGGTGACGTTGAAGGTGGCCGGAAGCTCCTGCAGCCACGGCTCGCCGTCGATCTTACACGGCAGCGGCGGCGAGTCGGGCTTGTACGTAATCTCCACCGACTTGCCCTGCGCTATCCTGCATATCGCACACGCCCACCGCACACACCGCATGAACCGCACACGCCCACCGCACGCGCCGAACCGATGGTGAGAAATGGCGGCGTGTTGGGACGCGAGGGAGCGCGGACGTACCGCACGCCGGTGGCGAGGCCGGCGCCGATTTGGCTGAAATGGAACACGCTCCGGATGCCGATCAGCTCCAACTGCCCGTCGTTCATCGACACCACATCGAATCGCTGTGTGTCGTGTCGTGTCGTGTCGTGTCGTGTCGTGTCGTGTCGTGTCGTGTCGTGTCGTGTCGTGTCGTGTCGTGTCGTGCGGCGAATGTCAGAAAAAGGAGAAGACCGTGAGAGGGGGTGGGGTGCTGCGTACGTCCTCCTTGGTGGTGCCCCACAGGTTGAGGCCTCCGGCGTAGGAGGGCAGGTTGAGCAGAATGAGGCCCTCGATCTCCGGCAACGGCACCGGGATCCCGTCCACCTGCGCTCACCACGTCAGCCCGCGTTGAAGGGGGCTGAAGGGGGCGGGCGGGGGCGGGTGGGGGCTGGAGGGGGCGGGCGTACGGAGAGCTCGAGGATTTTGTCGAGGGTGGCGGAGGCGAAGAAGGGGGCGCTGATGGCGTCGGTGAGCATGGCCTTGGCGCCGAGGCCGGCGTACCACAGCTTGTTGATGCCCCGCGTGGCGAACAGGAACGGCGACCCCTCGCGCTTCTTGTGGAAGTCCAGCGCCACACGCGCGTCCGCGAACCCTGCGTGCGTGCGCACACGCCCACCGCACACGGGTGAGCCGATGGGCGCGCACGGTATGTGCGGCGAGCGTGTGCAGTGGGCGTGTGCGGTGGGCGTGTGTTACCGAGGGAGAGGTAGTTGTTCATGCAGTGCTCCTGGGTCTCGGTGGTATCGCCGCTCTGCGGGTCCACCGTGTTGATCTGCACCTGCCATCTGTACTCCCGCAATCAGCGCGTGCGGTGTGCGCGTGTCGTGTCGT